CTTCCCCTCTGTGAAGCCTAATGTCAACTAAAGGGATAATTATAACTATCCAAACGCCTGCCATTTAAAATAAATAGAAATTTACTTTTGAGCAGTAAAATATTATGAAAATAGGCCACACAACGAAATTTAAAGTTTTATGAAATGCCAACGCGGAATTATTTAATAAGAACATAAAATTCAAAACGTGACCAAAGTCCGGCTTTTTTATGATCAAAAATACGGTTCATCAACGCAGCAGCGGACGAGTCACGGATAGAATAGCGAATTTGCAATTAATCGTTTACTTAAAATCAATATAAACACAAATAATCATCACCATAATCTTCAATAAGGCAACATTAAAGAAATAGTAAATTAAAACAAAGGTATCACATAAGCAGGGAAATCTTTATCACAATTGCCCGGTAGCGGAGAGAGAGAGAGAGGTCCCACGCTACAATTAGTAGCACCTTTCAACAGACCAGAGGAGGAGCTCGACAGCAGAAGCTGGACGTTTTGCCTTCTCACCACCACCACCTCCAGACATCATCGCAGACGTCATCGATAATCGATGTCTCCTTGGAACTGCCCAACCTTCCCCAGAAGTTACATGAGGAGGATCTGCGTCCGAAGCAAGTCGGTGAAGTGTAGAAGTGAGAGTCGATCTAACCATTGAACCGAGTAGTGGAGCACTGAGTAGAAGACCTGTAGTTAACGGACCTGCTTCATGACCGATCTCCTTTGGACGAAGGATGCCGATACGAAAGAGTCCATTGTTTGCCATTGGGTGAATCAATACAATCAAACTGCAGTCGAATTCGGAGACAAGGGAAGATTGAAGGGGATTCATCGCAGAGGAGCCAATGTCGGCTTTGCCTGCCCAACTGGGGGACCAGAGAGCATCATCCCAGGATTCTAACCACAAGACTGCGGCTCGGAAGTCATCAGCCGTACACTTTTCTTCCGGGGGTTCTAAAAAGAATGTATTGCAAAATGAAGCTAGTAATTTAATTTCAAAATTAGCATTCAAGACACTAGATCCTCTATTACGAGTGCGTAAAATCCTCAGCACCAAATTTTATTGATTTTCTATGGTTCCGTTGAAAATCGTTCAAGTAAACCTTTGAAATAAAAGCATTGAAGAAATGCTGATGATCGAATGATTGATTCCTTATATTAAATTAGAGGCTGAAGTTTCCAATATCTGAAGTAGATTTGTACCGAGTAATTTGAAGTAATACCAGTGCTCTATCATTTATTTATTTATATCAAATGGCAGGCGTTTTGATGGTTATCATTAGGGCTTCATAGAGGGGAAGGAACATCAAAATGAAAAAGTCGAGAAGGGGGGGGGGAACAGAAGAGTTTTTCAAAGATGTAAAAG